TAACACAACCCCTGGTGCCTCAGGCTGGAGAGGGAGTGTGTGTGTGTCGGTGTAGTGTGTCTAGGGACAGTCCCGTGTGTGTATGTCCCGAGCCGGTCTCGGAGTCCGGGTGCCCCTCACTGCCCGCCCCCACCCCCACCCCTCCCGCGGTCCGGGCTGGCCGGGCCATGGGCAGGTGGCTCGCGCGTCAGCGCGCGGGGCGGGCTCGGGGCCCGGCTAAAGGGGCGGCGGGCCCGGCGGGGGAGCGCGCACACAGCTGGGCTCCGGGGCGGGCGGCGTTCAGCGAGCCAGGCAGGCCCCATGGCCGCCAGCCGGGCGTCCAACGGCCGCGCCGCGCACCCCAGCGCGGGACTCAAGCGGGCGCGCAGCGAGCCGGGAGGCAGCAGAGTGACCGTGGTGCTGGGGGCGCAGTGGGGGGACGAAGGCAAAGGGAAGCTGGTTGACCTGCTGGCCACCGAGGCGGATATCATCTGCAGGTGCCAGGTGGGTGCAGGGCGGCGGCGGCCGGGGAGCGGGGCCATGGTGGCTCGCAGGGGGCAGCTCCGCGGCTCTCTTCTGCTCTGTGGCGTCTTGCTTGTCTCCTGGCGTGTTTACCCTGGTGCCTTTACTATTCTCTTCCCTCTGGGTTTCCGTTTCTCTTCGCCTCGCTTTTCTTTAGCTCTTGTTCTGTCTTTTCACCCCTCTGGCATCTTCTCTCCTCTCCTTTTCCCGGATCCCTTTTCTCTGCCTTTCGGTTTCCCCCTTTTCTCTTTCTATCTCCAGTTTTTTTTATTCGATCTATCTATCTATCTATCTATCTATCTAATATCTTTCTCTTTATTTGTCTATCTCTGATCTCTGTCCATCTCTGATATCTTTCTCTTTGCCTATCTCTGATCTCTGTCTGTATCTGATCTTTATCTGTCTCTGCCATCTCTCCATCTCTGATATCTATCTCTGATATCTTTCTCTTTATCTCTGTGTTTCTGCCATCCCTTTGCCATCTCTCTCTGTCTCCCTTTGCCATCTCTCTCTGTCTCTGCAATCTCGTTCTGCCATCTCTCTCTCTCTTCTCTTTTCTTTTCAGCACATTCGCATTGTTTCTCTCTCCTCCTTTCCCCCACTTTCTCATCCCCTGTTTTACTTTCTCTCCCTTGCTTCTGTGCTCGAGGAGGAGGTGTGATTCTTCCCCAGGACCGGGCTGGGACCCTTCCCCCTCCTCTGGTTGCAGATTGAAATGTCACTGGGAAAGAAAAAGTCCTGAACTATAAATATAAATAGCTGACCGTTCGTGATAAGAGACACAAGATCCCGATGTTCAGACAGGCATGGGCCGTGTCTGAGCAAGGCGTCTGCTGCCGTCTGATAGCGGCCCATCTGCTGGCTGGGGAGGGGATGCATGCAGCAGGTGTCAGATGATGATTGCCTCTTGGAGAAAAGGTTGCCTAAGGTGACCAGAGGTCGGAGCAGCTAGAGTTTCCCGGTGGCCTGCCCTCTCCCCTCCTTCCACTGTCTCCTCATGATCCATGGATGCTTCCCCTTTGGAAAATTCATCTGGCTGGGTTCTGCTGGAGCCTTACATTTCTGTAATTATATGTAGCAGGTCCCAAGATCTTTCGTTTAGCAGCCGTTTCCACTCAGTTGACCACCTGCACTTAATGGATTTAATATTACTCCAGTTTTGTTATTGTGCAAGGGAGAAATTACTAACTAGTTCAAAGACTAGTCACTAATAAATCTTAGGAGTCTTCTTCAGTTTTGAGGCCATGTGTTTTGGATGGGCAGATCTTGTTTCCTACAGAATTGCTTGAAACTCCTTTTGAAAATCTTTTGAAATAGAACACGTATAGTGAAAATAGAGAAAGGAAGTAGCCACTTGAAGTATTTTGTGTGTTCATGGAACTTATTACACTGCTTTGCTTAGATTTATTTCTGATTTGTTCTGAATACTAAATAGAGTATAGTTCAAAGAGGCTCAAAACACAGAGACTTGTTTAGTATAAGCTAAAGAATGTGGGCATTGTATCCAATATACATAATCTTAATTACTTAAAAAAAAAGATAGTCAAAGCATGAATCATGAAAGTGCTTATGCAAATATACATACTAATGCTTATCTGAGGAAGAGCTCTGTATAGACGGAAAGCTTGTCTCTCTTACCAACAGAAGTTGGCTCATTAAAAGATATTGCCTCACCCACCTTGTCTCTCTGTTGTCTTTTAACTGTTCTAATAAA